CGTAATTGTGCGTAATTTAAGTGAAATTATTTTATTCAGGAAAAAAAAATTTGTCAGTCACTCAAATCGTTTGTAATTATTAACATCACTTGAGGCACTCGCCTATTTAGTGGTCATCAATTTTTATGGATTTAAGAAAATGTTTATATATTTTTGTGATGAAATTAATGGGATGCTTTGTACGTATTGTTTCTGGTTGACAGTAAGTTTGATTTATTTTTCAAGGCAATAATTGAAATTTTTAACCAAAATTATTGATTATCGGAAATTGTTTCATTGAAATATAGTCACGATTTTAGGTCAGGAAATAAGAAGAATCTTTGTAAAATTCTGAATTAGTCCTTGCTGGAATCCTGACGAGAATTTCAATGAAATTGAAAATTTAAGATTGGCATTTTTTAAAAATCAAATTTTGCATGCTTACCTATAAAGAATCATGATCAGATAAAGCAAAAATGTAAATTATAACTAAGTCAATGTAACTAGTTACATGAAAGCTGAATTTGTAAAACATACATAAATCAAGTGTATTATCTCCTCACCCAATCTGTCATTATTCGCAAATTTCAGTCATAATTTGTTGCTTTAAATTGTTTTAATAAGACCGAATTGAACTACTATTATTGACGCCATTAATACACTCGATTTATTATTTGACAGTGTTAAATTATCTATCAATCTTGATGTGTTGCTATGTGCCCAGTATATAGCATAACTTAACAATTTTAAGTGTTAATTATTTGGCACATATTCTCGAAATTTTAATTCTATTAGTCAATGTGTATAATTACAATTGCAAATACTTTGTGTGGGATTTAAAATGAGAACTTTGTCATTGAAACGAGATTTTGATTGAATTGTGCAGCAACTCTCATAATTAATGACTTATTGAACCAATTGAAATATTGTAACGGAAATTCCAAATTTAAAATTAATCATAGCAAACAAATTTTGTCATCTCGGTTTATCAATATTTTAAAATGAAAGCAAAAGTGAATTTAAGTTAATATAAATCAATTATCAGTGTAGATCCAGTCAATAAATGCCATACACATGAACAAGAAGAAGTGAAATATTACAGAAATCAGAAGCGAAAAGTGATATTTTTTGCAAAACTTAAACAACTGTAAATCAAACATAATTTTGATATCTTAAAATCAACATTTTACATACAGTCTTCAACATAAATTGACATTAAGTTGTTCAGTAAAGAAATATGTACAAAGGTACACGTTTCGAAAAAGAAAGATATTGATTGATCTTCATATTAATTGATTTTAATAGTTTTTCCAAAGCTGTTGTTGGATTTTAATTCAAGACAATGTACATTTATTAAGACCTCGTAGTAACGAAGTGACATGGGGTAAACCATGTTGAAATTTGTGTGTTTTTGTACTTGAAGATTTCATTTGCTTATAACTTTTTAATGCCTTACTGTAAAAATTTACTGTTGGTCTTAAATTATCAAAAATTGTTGGAATTTTCATTTTTTTTATACTTAGTGATGGTTATGCTGCTTATAGGAAGAGAAATTTGACATTTTTGGTCAAATGATGAAAAATTGTGCGGAAAATTTTAAAATTTGTGCGTTTTTTTGACAGAAATGTAAACAAACAATATTTTTACGCATTTTCGAGGGTTTTAAATGGTGATTGCTTTTAAGGAACACTTCCAAATAAACTCCATTTCAATTTTAAAGGACACTGCTGCATTAATGAACTTTTTTCATGATTTCCAAATTTATTTATCATTATGTATATCATTTATGTTGACTGAGTATGACGAGAAGAAACCATTAAAATCAAGCACATCCTACAAATGTTTTTTTTTTCCAAAATTTATTCACGATAAAGTTTACAGAATTTTGCAAAATTGTTTTGAGAAATAAAAGAAAGAAGAGTATTTTAACGAAGTTTATTGTGTATCATCTATTTGGGACTGAAAACAGAAGGTAGTTCTTGAATGCTTTTTTGTTCTTGTAATATTTTTTGAAGTTGGTTGCATTTTTGAAATTTCTTGATTCTGTATGAATATTTGAGTCGAACACATTTTTCATTACTCTCAGTTCATGTCTTCTTCATGCCTCTAAAAACCCTATTTTGATTGTAAATAATTATTTTTGTTGACAAAATGTGCCATTGCTTTCTACGATAAAAAACACAAATTTCAAAATTTGTCAAAAAATTTTGCACAAATTTGAACATTTGAAAACAACTCATTTTAAAATCAATTTTTGAAGGACTTCCAATGACTTTTCGTACGCAGAAACTTTTTTAATAGAAAAAGCTATAGAGAAAAATTTGTTTTCAACTCTGATGGGGTAAGAAGAATCATTAGTTGAGTCCAAATCATTAAAAAGATGAAAACTTTCATTTTGTATAGGATTTTGAATAATTGAAATTTAAAGCTATAAGAACCTTCAACACAATCCAAAATGAAGTAGAAAAGTTTTAATAACTGCTTTACAAAGAACTGCATACACAATTTTTCTTTAAATGGTTTCGTTTAGATGATTTACATTTCATTTGATCGCACAAATTTCAACATTGCACAAATTTCAACATGGTTTACCCTACATAAGAAAATTAATTGTGTAATGTGTCAAGCATGTATTTTTCAATTTTTTAGAATAATTAGGTAAGTAAACATTTGGTTTAATTAGAGTAGCTGTTGCTGGCTCTTTTTGGTGAGTGGTTTGAAGTTTTGATGGTTTAATTAGCAAAATTTAAGTAATGTGAATTGAAAAACTAGAGATGCCGCATTGAACTAAGTCTGAAATTTAAACAAGAAAAATCCTAAAGTTTGTACCCATTTGAGGCAAGGATAAAGAACTATTTTGGCCGGTTCAACATCCTTGGTTTGGGGTTGTATCCATTAAACTCTTATTTCCCCGGTCTGAATGCTCTAAACCACAATTTCCATTCCAATTGCATTCGTAATTAAAAAGCAATAGCTGCAATATTGAAGCTGTCTACTAATTTCAACATCACGAGCATAAATGTTGAATTGTTAAAAACATAATGTGTGACGAAATATTTAAAAATAAACTCAAACGAAAAAGAGTTGAAAGTACCTCAGAATGCAGTTAAATCTTTTACATAAAAATGTATTTTTAAATGAAGAAAAGATGTCATCAAATCACCACATTTGATTCTAATTTCCATTTTTACACATGAGAAATAAAAGTGTACAAAAAAATATTCCTCAGTTTCGTTTGACTTTAATTATTTTAAGATGCTTATAGAAGATTCACCGAAAAAAGAGAAAAAAGCTTGTCTATCTAATTCTACATTACTATATTTTTTTTCTATATACAAAATAACAAATTTTTCTTCACGAAATTCCGTTTGGTACAAATACAGAAGAAAAAAAAAGTGAGAGAGTGAGGTTCAACAAACCCACTAAAAAAATATTGTCGATGAAATCTTTTTATCTGTTTATTGCTTGAAAGTTTTATGACATTACATTTACTCTCGAAAAATTGTATAAAATACAAGAAACATGTATAATCGTAGAGCTGGTTTTTCATTTCCATTTCTTTTTCATTCCTTACTATTTCTATGAATAATAATAGCCTATTGCTGCTGCGACATCATCAACGGTGTACCTTTAGTTGACTTCAATTAAATCTTTGTTTTATTTCGGGTTTTCGTTTTTATTAATCAACCGAAAAATATTGAAGAAGAAAAAGGCGATAAAAAGAGAAGGAAACGAAGAAATGTTTTGAATTTTTTTTTTCTTCTCTTTCGTGGCATTTTATTTATGAAACTCTTTAAATTATTGTGTGATCATAAATTGAATTAAAATAGGAGATTAGATGACATGGGATGGAGATTTTCTAAATGTGTTCTATATTAAATTATTTAAGCTGAATATTTAGAAATTCATTCGAAAGTAATTTCACCCATTTCTAAAGATAATTCCAATAATTCATAAATCAGCAGCTTAGCACCCACAAAGTACACACACCTTGACTTTACATTCACTATTCGCAGAAATTTGGGGAACGGCTAAACACAATTTTGGTGCTTTGCTGCTAAATATCCATTATATTATGCTATTAACAAGCTTATTTGCCATTTTTCTATGATTTTTAACATTAAATTCAATTTCTCATGACATCAACGGACATTCCAATTTCGTTTTTTTTTTATTATAAATTTTGTCATCTGGGTTGCTTAATAATAATGTGAGAGGGTTCCAGCCTGGCGGTGTGTTACTACACGTTGCGATGAGCTGAAGGCACTGCGATCCTGATCGATGATAGAATCTATTGTACCGTATCTGGGTTGCTTACAAAGTCTAATTTTGCAAGAAAGTGTCTAATTTTAGTGATTCAACTAGATAATAATCAGCGCAGCCTTAAACATTGAATTAATACATTAAAACCCGCACTTAAGTCAGTAATGGATATACATTGTTTCAAAAACAAAGATCAATTTGAAGATTAAACGAAAATAATTGAAAAGCATTAGAACTAGCAATAAAAATCTATTAATAATATACTTTACTTTAAGTACCACGGCAGCTGTAACGATCAAAGGCAAAGAGATCTCTTTAGATTAATTTACATTAACACGCTAAACGTGCGGATTATGGTACAAAAAAAAGTTAATTAACAGCGAGAAATTGGGGAGCTGTAATTATGAGAGCGGCAGTTTTAATAGTGCAAATACTCCCTCTTCTTGTTGTCTGTTCTTTCGCCTTTAATTCCTCATGTCAAAATATTAGCAAAATTAATTATCTACAGTCATTATCGGCTCAGCTTAATTGAGGGGTTAATGAAATCTTTTGTGTGAAATTTATCGAGATAATAAAGAGAATTATTCGCGAGTAAAGAAGATAATTTGAAGTTGCAGATCCTTTCCTCTCATTTCTAGAAATAAATTTTCTCATTTTCCCCTATTACATCTCATGACAAATAGCTACATAAAAAAGAAAATGCAACACGATCCATGTGTCGAACATTTTTCTCTCTGACTTTTCTTTTCTCAGTTTATCTTTAACTTGCGACGAGATTCCTTTGTATCTTTCATCGTTATTTTGAGTCGTAGCTGTTCTCAAAGCAATTTGTCAAATGAAAAGTTTAGCAGTTGTCTTAATTTTGACTGCAATATTAATCACCGAGTCTGCAGGTATTGAAAATATTTGTAATAAATTTTTTTCACTCACATTTCGATGAGATTTCTTAATTTTCCGCCAAAATAAATTTTCCCTCGAATTGTGTTTTTAAAAAAAAACCTTCAAAACAGCAGTCTAAAAATAAGATTTGAATCAATCAAAATCTAAAAATAACAGCTTTATTTACTATGTAAATAAAAAGAGACATTAGTAGGGCAAGAACGTATTCATCATTTTATCAATCATGCTTTTAGATGTTCAGACAGAGAGCACAATAGGTCAATCACATAATGCAACAGGTGATCTTCAGACACAGAAGCCATTGCTTCTAAAAAGTATTGATGATAAAAAGGAGTTTCCCAAAGAAACTCAAATGGTAAAGACGAAAAAATTCTCAAGGGGATTAAAATTTTGGAATTTATATAAAGTCTGTAAAATTTCTCACATTTAGGCACAGTGTACAGTTCAATCAGCAGATGGTTTAAAGGTATGGCAGGTTACATAAAAATTTGCAAATTTTGAACAACAAAATTTCTTCTTTAATTTACAGGTTCAAGCCCAAGCAACATTTTCGAAAAAGCTTGATGGGATTTGCTCGACAGGTGAATAATGAACATATAAAAATATTAGTTTCAAAATAAATATTGCTTATGATTATAAACAGATGACATGAAAGCTTTAAAGGAGAGTCTCGTAGCAATGGAATCACGACTATATCGAGATATTTATGATCTACGACTTTTGATACAGAAACTTTTACCTCAAAGCCAAAATTCATATGACAATAATTACTATCGATATGATGGATATTATCAACAACCAAACTATTATGACTACTCAAAATATCCACAACAGGATGTCTACTATAAACCCACAGCAGCTTCACTAACCCATCAAGGTTATCAGGGACAAAATCAGCAAGAAAGGCAGCGTGAAACTCAACAGAATCGAAATCTTCAGCTCGAAAGTACAACAGCATCATTTATTCCTGCAACTTTACCGCAAACCACTCCAGCAGTTCTCACAACAACACATTTAAGAAGAGTTCCAGAAGTAATTAATGCAAATAAATTAAAGTCTTTAGACACAAGTCGCAATAGACAAAATAAAGTTTTGACAACCTCGACTACCCCTAAAATTACAGCAACAATGAAAACAACTTCAACAACAACTGAACCAACAAAAATCATCCCCGTAAATGAATATACTTACTATTGGAAGCTCGACAATTTTCCAAGATCCTTTCAAAATGCTAAAAAGAACGAAATTTTCAGTCACATTTTCAATGTTAAAGGACTTTATATCAGAATGAGAGCTGAGTTGAATTTAGGACACGATGAAATGTTGTTATTGGATATTGAGCATCTCGCAGAGAATACAGAAAATAATTTGGAAGTAGAGATGTCGGATGGATTAATTTTTAAGGAAATAGCAGAAGAGAAACTTTTCCAATACAGCTTTGTTGTTATAGATCAGAATAATTCCAACAATGAGCACGTTTCACCGACTTATTGGAATGATGATTCTGATAATTATTACAAGATTCCAAATAGTGTGCATTTGTTAAAGAGTTTCTTGAAGGATAATTCGCTTCTGATTAAGTTGATCATTACTTTTTAAAATTTGATTACTGTCAAACTGAGTCGAGTGACCATTTTATATCAAGACAAAGGATTATATAGGCTAGGCCTAGAGAATTCAGAATTAAAGCATGGCTAAGCAGATGGAATAGAATTGAAGTTAATAAACAGTAAGAATTGAAATCAATCAGTGGATATAAATTAAAAAATTATATTGAAGCTCTTTGATTTTTAAAATAGCATTTTGTGGCATTTATTGCCTCTTAGCTTCCATAAATTATACAACAGTACAAGAGTAAATTTTGTAATTTTTAATTAGTATTTTTTTTATTGGATTGATTTATTGGAATCAAAATTACTAGTCAAACTTTTACAGTTATAAACTCGTGTATTTTTAAGCATTTGATTTTTTTGTGATTGAATTGTGAAGTGTTGGTTAATTTAGTAGATTATAAAATTAGTCGTAGATCTTTAGTTATAATGTAGTTTTTAACACCCGAGCGAAACTAATCGCGGGATAGTATGTTAAATAAAGTTTTCATAATGCATTTCAAACCAAGGACTTTTATTTATAAAAGAATATTTGGTCAACATTCTTTAAAGATATTTCAACGACTTCCGTCAATATATTTATCTCAACCAAATGACGATTGTTTTTCGCATTTATCTGACGTAAAGAGCAACATTTTATCCTCATTATCATCATCAAACGCGCAAGTAACTTGAAATATTTGAAAGACAAAAAAAAAGTTTTAATTTGCATAAATCGCAATCAATATTTCTGTTCACTACAATCACACCAAAGAAACCTAGCCTAATCATTTAATAAACACTCATCCTCTAATAAGCTCGACATGACTTCATAATAAATTAATGAATTTACCTAAATACATTTTAATCAAGACAAAAAAAAACTGAAGACAATTTTGCAAGACTACAGAAAATATAAATATAAGAAATCGTCACAATCGTGAGGAGGTGAAATACCGCGGAAGATTTAAATAAATTTTTATTTAAAATAATTTTTTATATTTTATAAACTTTTTTGAAATTAAAGACGAAACTAAAAGGCGATTGTGAAAGTCTTAAAATGTAAAGTAAAAAATATATTTAATAATAAATCTCAAAAAGCAGTTTTGGGTCTTTTAAGCTGAAGAAGACATCGATAAGTTAAAATGTCGTGATGATTGTGTAATGGAAGCACTTTTAAGCTACTTATTTTAAATTCCTTAAAATTTCAAATTCCTATTAACAATTCAAATTTTAAGGTTTTTTAAAAAAATTCGAATTTTATCGTTATTTTCGCAAAAGTCAAATTTTACGGTTTTTTAAAATTCAAATTTTTCCGGATTTTGCAAAATTCAAAATTTAACGATTTTTTAAAAATAGAACTAAATTGGCAACATAGTATTCTCAATATTGTAAGACAAACTGCCTCTAGCTCAACCCTAAGAAATGAGCTTACGAAAAAAATATTTATAAAAACCATTAAAAGACACTCTCTAAATGTGATCTAAACAACAAAATACACATTTATTTTTCATGTATTAATTTTTTGTTATTTGAAGGAAAAAAATTTCCCCAAAAAAAAATTCGTCTTCATCTTCTACCAACAGCATGGTGTATGGTGTGTAAAAGCCTCTGAACGACACATTATCAATTGAATGTATATATCTCAGTACGAACTGAGCGAGAAGGAGAAAAATATTTTTTTTTGTTATTTTATTACACCGAAAAAAATAAAGACTATATAAAGAATTGAATATTTAAATATTTTTATATAAAAATTACTTAGAAACTGGTTTCTTCAGTTAAAACCTCAACTGAAGGAGAGAACTGTTTGGTATTAAATTAACAAAATAACAAAAAAAATAACATTTTTATAACAAATACGATTTCTTTATTCAAAATTTATGGGACACATTTTTTTTACCTCTCCTCTTGTTGCTTCTTCTTTTAATCTCTTCTCTTTACTTGAACATACAGAGATGAAAATTAGTAACAAAATATCTAAAGAGATCTTACGTTGATTGCTTCGTACATCTCTCACCGAATGAAGAAAAAAAAAACTAATAAAAAATTTAACTTTATATTTTTTTATTATTATGTATTTCGTACATCGTCCATAGATCTGTTGTATATCATCATAGTTTCGCATGATCACCATCTTCGCCATTGATTATTGTCATTGATAATGATACACATATAAGCAAGTAAGATGTATGACGGGGGAAAAAAATATTAAAGCTTTGAAAAAGTTTAAACAGCAAAAAAGTAAATATGTGAATAAGTAGAAAAGTATGGGAAGCATTGGTGGATTTATATTCATATATTTAGCGCATTTTTTTGAAACGTGGATGTTTATGATACTCTCTATAATATGCTGAGCAGTGACCTTTAATCAGAAGTATAGATAAGATTCCATTGATGACTGAGTTCCACCATTCATTGACTTACTAAAACGAAACTCAGAAGCATTGCTTAAAGATTGCTGCCTGAATGCATAAAAATCCTAATTCCCACTTATTCCTGACTAATTATCAACAAACTTATAAATCAACAAAAAAAATAATAAACTCATGCATAGCCATGAAGCATACCTAACGATATCATCGACAAACATCCATAGCACACCAAACACCTCTCGAAAATAAGTCCGCTAATAAAATGTGGATGGGGAATTGATATTAATAAACATCCATTAGACATCACAAGAGAGTGAGTGAGCGAACAACTGTGAATAGTTAAAGCAAAGCGACAATTTTTATAAACGAAACAGAAACGAAATGAAGCGACAAGAAGAGGAAAAGAAGTAACGAAAAAAAATCAACATTTTTGTGTAATGGCTATTGGATATTTGTGTATGGTATGGAGATGCTATTTATATGGCCAATCTAATCTTCTTCCATTGAATTATATATTATATTATTGCTCCAAACTCCACATCTCTATACATACATACATACATGACAAGAAATAACTTCATGGGGGCAATAAGGCAGGTTTTATGTAAATGCTTCATTAAAACACATTTTTTGTTTCTTTTTTTTCCTCTTCAATTTTTTTTCACTAAAAAATAATAAAATAAAAAATACAACAAGCGATGGATAGGAAAAAAAAAAATCTGCGTTAAACACCTGAAATTGATTTCTTTTCAATCTAACACAAAAATCGTTTGTTTGTTTGTTTGAGATCCAATGACAATAAATCCATTGCTTTTTTTCTATTCATTAAGTGGCTAATCATGTGAATAACAAAAAGCTCTCCGAATTGTGCAAATTAATTTTTTTTAATGCTGCATAATTTTTGAAAAAGTTGGATTTGGATGGGTTTGGTTTGTCTTGGGTCGTTTTTACGGGTTTACATAGCTTGGTTTCTGTATATCCTAGGTTGTTTTTTGTTAAGTTATGAGGCGTGACTCATATGCTTGGCTTCATACTGACTTCACCCTTGATGTAATGGATTTAAGGATCATTCTCAGATTTTAACTTCCCCTTCCACGAAATAAACCATCCAATATATTTACTGTGTCAATCAGTATTTTGGATTCAATAGGAATCGAACGTATTATGCTGTATTATGATTCATAAACAATATGTCCTTACAACTTAGACATCAAAAGTTCATAGAGATGTCTCACAGATTGTCATTAAAGCAGCTTTTTCTTGGGAATTCAAGCTTCTCTTTTCTTATTGTTGGGAATTCTAGCTTCTCTTAGGGTTCGTTCACTTATTACGTAACGCACTAGGGGGGGAGGGGGGGTCTAAGATTTTGTTACGGTTTGTTACAGGGGGAGGGGGGGGGGTCTAAATTTTGTTACGTAACTTTTCAAAAAATATATTTTTTTATAATTTTTTCTATATTAATTTTAAATTTTAAAGGAAGTATAATAAACATTTGATAAACAATTTAAATGAAAAAAATTATTGTTACGTTATGGGGGGGGGGGGGGGGGGGGTCTAAGATTTTGTTACGCTTTGTTACAGGGGGGGGAGGGGGGGTCTAAAAACTCGTTTTTTTGCGTTACGTAATAAGTGAACGAGCCCTTATCACGTCAATTATTGCGAAAATTCCCCCAAAAATCATCAGCAGATGCGCTTTTATTTTAAGCAAAAATCAAATTTTATTCACCAACCAACAAAAGATGCATAAAAACTTTTTAAAATGAGTCAATGATCATCGATAAGGCACACAAAATGCTGTATTTTACTGTCCACTGACATGGTTAATATTAAATATGAATAAATTGTGAAACGAATGGACAAAAAAGTTCACTCAATACAGTTTTTTATTGCATCTTTCTTAAGGGTCAAGTTATGATCATATTTTCACTAGAGTTGTCGTTATTGATGAATGTTGTGAATGGTTGACTAATATTATGTAAGAAGTAACAATGTTAAAAATATGAAGCTTTGAAATTTTGGTTGATTTTCAATTTTTGAGGACTTGAATGATTCATTTCCAAAAATATCCTTAACATTAGCATTTTAATCCACAAGATATTCATCATATTTGCAAGTCAGATAGTATTTCACGATCTTTTGCCATTAAAAACTTTATCAATGAAAAAAAATTCAATCATCGATTTTTTTAAAAACTAGAATGAAACTTTAATTTGATTCCAACGTGATACAGCAAATATAACATGGGATAAAGTTTCAGCGATGACGTTCACATTGTTTCTGGGAAATTTTGTTTGTGATTCTGACGTTTATTGTGGGCTTTCTTCTCTTACTGACAGATTTAGCAATATATAGGTCAATATCCTAGTTTCAACTTTTGTTTCCGAAACCACATGTTCATTCAAAAAAGTTCTTTTTGCATTATAAATTTATGATCATTCTGTTTGATATTCAAAAAATACAAATTTAGGAAGTGAAAATTCTTCATTTTACACATCGCATAGTTGTTCAAGTGATTTATTGTCTTACTGTATGCCAAAAGTTTTCGTTTCCTTTTCTCAAATGTGAAGCAAATGATCTTGGTGTTTATGCTTATCAGCACGTGTCACAGTTTTTTGGGCAGCTATTGACCACATTATAGACTTTTCCTCAATATATCTTGACATCACAAAACATTTCGATCAAAAGTCAAAAAATAATTCTCAGTAGTTCACAAAAATCACAGCAAACATCTTCGATTTGTTGAAGTTTTAAAGTTAAAATTTTCATTGTTTGAGTTTAAATAAATTAAAAATGTGCGCAGCTTATAAAATTGACAGAAAGTTCTTTCTGCATCCCTGTGAAAAT